TGACCAAAAGGAAGTTCTCCTAATGTTTAAATGAAATCTGTTTTCTTGCCATTTCCATCCATCAGCTTTAGTTCTGGCCTTTGGCCAAAGGCTTCACAGAAAAAAAGGATTTCCAGGAGGGTTTGGGAGGAAAAGAGAAGTGGTCCTGTGTGGGTGTTGGGTTGGGAGTCTCAAGCAAAAGCTCAGCAGTAGAGCATCTGCTTTGTATGTCAATTCAATCTTTGGAAACTCAGGTAGGACTGAGGGAAAACTTGCCTGAAACACTGGAGAGCCTCTGTCAGTCAGTGTAAGTTAGATGAGCTAGATGGACCATTTGGTCTGATTGAGTGTAAGCCAGCTTCCTATGATCCCGGCAAGGAAAATTTGATTTCTTTAAGGTAGCAAGATGGTCTGCATCTCATATGTAGGCTCCACATGAATCAGGTCTCGTATCCTAACCCTTGAATTTGACCGAGTTTGCATTGAAAGGTAATCTTCCTAATTCATACTTTGCAAAACAAAAAACAAAAATACAAAAATACAGGAACCAAAGCACAGTTATTCTTTGCAATCTTCATTCCTGTGAATTATTGCAATGCAGTAGTCCAGCCAAGTAATGAGTGTGAAGATGTAGCCATTCTTTGAAGCATTGATTAAAATGCATGCATGCATGAAAGTAACATGCAAATGTGCACCACAGCAAGGAAAACAGGTTTGCAAAGAGGTGCAGATTAGTGAAAACTGCATAGTAAATGATGAATGTTAGGTGAAAAATGCACTGAAATGCTGCTGAATTTGGTGAACTGAATTCAAGACTAGGGAAATGAGAAAGGGAGAGAGGATGAAATTGACAGATTCACCTATCCCTATTACTGGAACAGCATGGCAGGGCTTGGACCTTAGAGACCTGGTGCCAGTCAGAATAGACAAGGAGACGATACTGAGCTAGACAGACCAATGTTCTGACTCAGCCGAAGGCAGCCTCTTGTGTAGGAGACCTACAGGCAGCTGGTGGTGGCAGAGTTGCTAAGAGTTGCTAAGAGAAAGCAGATTTTGTGAAACTGATGAAGCTTTGTGAAACTGATGAAGCTTCCCCCCACCCCCACCCCCCAAATACCCCACAAATGTCCAGAAGAGGTGTGCATTGCACAATCGCAGAGGGGAAAGCACAGCCTTTCAGATAAAATAATAGGAAAGAAAAAGGTTCATGGCATGATGGGGACATTGTCAGAAGAAATAAGGACACATTTTTGTTGCTAATGGTCAATTTTCTTGCTATCAGTTGGAAGGTCAAGAGATCAGGGCAACCGCTGCCAAATGAACACAACAGGAGGATACTTGCAGGAAGAGGATGTGGTGCGAAATGCAGCTTCAGATTTTTATATACAGTGGTACCTCGGGTTACATACGCTTCAGGTTACAGACTTTGCTAACCCAGAAATAGTGCTCCAGGTTAAGAACTTTGCTTCAGGATGAGAACAGAAATCGTGCTCCAGCGGCACGGCAGCAGTGGGAGACCCCATTAGCTAAAGTGGTGCTTCAGGTTAAGAACAGTTTCAGGTTAAGTATGGACCTCCGGAACGAATTAAGTACTTTAAAAAAAATTCTCTTTTTAATGTGTTTTTATGCACCTTTCCCACTACTATACACAGTTTAATGCATTTCTAGGGGGTTGAGAACTGCATCTCAAAATGTGGAGAAGTACAAATTTCTAAGGTTTGCTTCACAGAATCAGGTGGTATGCCTTGAATCCCATTTAATCATCAGAGGTGATGAAGCGAATTTGTTTTCTATTGCTCTAGAGCAGCGGTTCTCAACCTGTGGGTCCCCAGATGCTGTTGGACTACAACTCCCATCACACCTAGCTAGCAAGGCCAGAGCTCAGGGATGATGGGCGTTGTAGTCCAACATCTGAGAACTGCTGCATTAGAGGCAACCGTCTGGAAAGTCTCTTCATTGGTTCAACAGCAACATGCAGATTAGAAGGTTGCAATTCACCTTGGGAGATTTAATCCCTTCTCCTCCTTGTCCCCCTGCCTGTTTATGCTGCGTGTTTGAGTCAACAAATGTCTTTTCTTCTGCTGCCATGTGTCACCCCTTCATGCAGATTGTGGGAATGTGTACGCCCAGCAATCGCACTTGTGTGGGAGAGACCGTGTGTTCCTCTGGAACAGTTTCTCGGTGTCATTTCTTTGCTTTTTGGCAGTTGCTCAGCTTTTTGTTCTCACCTTTGGATCGAAGGCCATGTAACTCAGCGCCTGAAGCCTGATTAACGTTGCATAATTAAAAAATGGGGTGGGGGGGATGCCAAAGCCAATATATACAATCTGTGTAGACGGTCTGTATTATGCTGTTTATTTGCCGGTATTTATAGTGGGGCAGTGCACTTTGCAGAATGGGAGAATCATGCTGACTTGAGTTATTTCTTCACAGAAGAAGAAGAAGAAGAGTTTGGATTTGATATCCCGCCTTTCACTCCCTTTAAGGAGTCTCAAAGCGGCTAACATTCTCCTTTCCCTTCCTCCCCCACAACAAACACTCTGTGAGGTGAGTGGGGCTGAGAGACTTCAAGGAAGTGTGACTGGCCCAAGGTCACCCAGCAGCTGCAAGTGGAGGAGCGGAGACGCGAACCCGGTTCCCCAGATTAGCAGACTACCGCTCTTAACCACTACACCACACTGGCTCTCTATTTAGCAGTCTCTATTTATTACTTTTCTACCACACCTTTCTTCCAAGAAGCTCAGGGTGGAATACAGAGTTCTTCCCCCTCCCCTACCATTTTATCTTTATAAGAACCCTGTGAGGTAGGTTAGAGACAGCAAGATCACCATGTGAGCATCCTGGCTGAATAGGGATTCAAAGTCTGGGTTCCCAGATCCTAGTCCAGTGCTCTAAGTGCTACACCACAATGGGAACCACCCCTGCTCAATGTTCAATTGGCCCTAACAGTTACCAATATATTGTTGATGGGCAATTTAGGAATCAATTTAAAATTATTGGGGGTTGGGAATCAGAGCTTGTTTGACAATGGGAGGTTTATTTTTATTTTTTAATGTAAAAATATTCCTGAGCTGCTTCCAAATAAAACTGATGAGACTTTGCACATCTCTCCTTTTTTGGGGGGGGGGGGTAGCTGTGTTTCATCTTCAAAATGTGGAATATGGTCCAGGATCAGGGCCACCATGCTTAGGTCAATATAATATCCCCACTTGTAATGGTTTGGGTGGGTTTCACAGGACAAGTCAGAGATTTCCCAGAAGGTCGGCAAAAATGCCATCACAGGCCATTGCGAAGTAGAATAGAAACAAACTGTTCTTTTGGAAGGTCTTGGCAGTTTTCTCAAAACTATATTGAGAAGCTGAAATGGAGTGTTGGAGAGGGGACGAAAAGTTGAGCTGTGTGATTTATTCATTATTTCCTAAAACAAGTTTCTCCGTTTTCCATCTTGAGCAAATTGAAGAGCTGAACCCAGGAGTGAAAAATGGTGTGATTTTTCAAATCGCCCTGTGGAGACGAATGGATGTATAACTTACGGGACTGCACTTCAGCGGCTGGCAAAGGTTAACATCTTCCTCCTTAGGGGGTGGGGGAGGGAAGGAACAAGACCTTGTTTTACCATAACTTGGGTATGATTCATACAGCATTGGAATGAACAAAAGCGAACAGCAGTGCAGCCAAAGAGTCATGTCGCTGGCTTGTAAAAATGATATAATAGTTCTTCTCGGTGAATGTGAAATATTTTAATTGGGAAACTTGTCGAGCATTCTTTTGCCGGGTTTGGTAACCTTTGCCAGCTGAAGGGCCAGAGTTCCTCCTGGGCAACTTTCTGAGGGCCACATGCCAGTGGTGAATGGGATCAGAGGCAAAAGTGGGCAGATCAACATATGTAGATGTAACCTTTGTACGGTATGCTAGTCTCTACACTCTCCCCTCTTTATCTTTTGTCCAGGTGAGCAAGAGGCATTAACAGAGTTCACTGACATATTCCAGCCAGGCAAAAACTCTCGGAGATGCTGCCAAGGGGTGCCTGGGCAGAGGGTCTGTGGGCAGGGCGAGGGGAGAGCCCTATGGGTCAGACAGAGAGGCAAGAGTTGTGGAGTGGACATTCCCAGTTGGTGCATGAACCATAGCTACCTGTTGAATCTCTGTAATTTTTATATGACAAATGTACGTGTGCATTGTCCTCCTTTTCACAGAATCATAGAATTGTAGAGTTGGAAGGAACCCCGGGGGTGGTCTAGTCCATGTTCAGGCAGGAATCTCAATTGAATCATCCATGAACAGCTGGATAGTTCAGTCCGTAGAGCATGAGCCTCTTAGGTGGAATGTACACATATATAAAAAGCGCTATGAAAATATATATTTTTTAAAAAGTTTTGAAAAATACATTGATTATTGCATAGCTCACTGTTGCCATCTAGTGTCACATTTGCATATTGCACTTTGCAACACATTTAAAATATTTTATTTGCAGCTGTATAGCTGAGTCATTAATCTCAGGGTCGTGGGTTTGAGCCCGACATTGGGCAAAAAGGTTCCTATTCTGCAGGGGGTTGGACTAAATTACCTTTGTGGATCATTTAGTCCTTTGCAGTTCTATGATTCTATGACAGGTGGCCATGCAACCTTTGCTTAAAAACCTCCAACTCTGTCCTCACTGATAATGGGCCTAACAGGAAATCCACGATGGTGGCCATCACTGCCTCTTCTGAGAGCAAGTTCCATCGTTCGGCTATGCACTGTGTGAAGAAGTATTTTATTTTGTCTGTCCTGAATCTTCATCTATTTGGCTTCATTGGGTGTCCCCAAATTCTTGTCTAATGGGGGGGGAATCCACCCACTTTCTCCATGCCACTCAGAATTTTATAAACTTCTACCATGTCATCCATCTCTTACCTGCCTTTTCTCCAAACTAAAAAGCCTCAAATTATTGCATCAATGGCATGTTGCAGAATACGCACACAGAGACATAATCCATCTGGAGGGAATCTTAGATTCTACATTTCCCGCCTTTGCTACAGGTGATGGCATCAGGAGAACAGGCGACGCAGCATTGCAGGAGAGCAGCATTCCCTTCATGCCTCCGGTTAGCTTAGAAGAGGCCAATGATACGCCTGACAAGCGGCTAGAGCACCGAACATTGAACCCAAGTCTCCAAAGGTAAAGGAAGGTTTCAGTTCTTCTTTGATTCTAACTAGGCAAGCGGGATGAATAAAGATGAAACGCTTCCCCATTCGCTTGAATTCTTGCTGCCCTTCTTTGAGGGCTGGCTGGCTTGGTGCGTTGTTATGGGGGAGGGGTTAATACAAGGTGGCAGCAAATGTAACTGGGATATCCCAGGAGTGTGTTCCTGGCTTTTAAAAGAACATCTCGCTGCAGCAGTCTCGGGGACAGCATTTTCTCTCGTTATGTCACATTTCTTTCCCATAGCCAAGGAAGGAAGGAAGGAGAATGGATGATTAAGTAGCAAGGAAGGTGATGAGAGTAAATAAGGCAAAAATCAATTACTTATTTTGATGGCTCATTCCCCACCCCCCTTCACGGGTTGCCCCATATATTTGTTTTTGGTTGTTTTGCTAATTAATGAGTTTTCTTCCTCCCACTGAGCACTGCTGCAAAGTGCCGTTGCTGCAGTATTAAGAGATTACATTTTTAAATAATCATCTAATGATTTAGCTAACTTCCTGTACTGGGCAACATAGGTTTAGCCATTGTGGGGAAACCCCACTTCCCCATCTCTTTTCAATGCATCACTTCTCCCACTCCAAGCATAGCTTTTTCCCCTCTCTGAGCTAGTGCTTCAAACCTGTTCTTTTCTCAACATCCATGTGCCTGAGAACATAGAATTCCAACATAGCGTTGGAAGGGACCACAAGGCTCATCTAGTCCAACGTTCTGGAAGTGCAAGAACAAGACAGAACTTGGTGTAGTTAGGCTGAAAGAAGGTGAGATGGGGAACAGTAGAAGAGTCACCTTGTTGTTCAGATTAAGACAGCAGCTCTAACCCAGAAGTTTTGCTGTGGATCGGCTTTAACGTACAATTAATCTACTCTGGCCTATTGATGTTCAAGAGACTTTCTTTATTGCCGGGCTGGTTACCCTTCTTTAGCCAGAGCTTGGTGGTGGCGCTCTACATAACATCCCATGCATAGGACTTGTGGGTCTAAGTCAAGACCAATTGGTTAGCTTTCTTCTGGTAGAGTATCTTGGTTAAATTGCAAATGTAAATTGAGGAAGATAACTGTGTTTCAGGGGATTTCTCCACCCCCCCCAAAAAAAATATGTTTAAGGTTATGGTCACTCCCTTGCTCTTCAGCCAAGTTGGCCATTCATTAAGCTTTATTCTCTCAAAATATTGGTGGGTATCTTCTGTAACCATTCATGTTTGTCTTCCATTTCTATGCCGACTTCTTTGAAAAATTCAGTGACAAAGCAGCCTAGGTATTCCCTGCTCATTCTCAATGTGTGTGTACATCTAGGATACCACACATTCTTTATACCTCACTTGTTCGTCATGAAGTGTTTCTAACACATCAAGGCAATTTTCCCCAAGCTGGTGCCCTCCAAATATTATTGGACTACACATTCCATCAGTCCAAACATAACCAATGGTCAGGGATGATGGGAGTTGTAGTCCAAAGCATCTTGAGGGCATCAGGTTTGGGAAGGCCAGATAAAGGTTTCAGTCAGGACAGGATGTTATGCCATGCTGCAATGTAAACACAAATAAATGTCTATACCTAGTCTGAAAGCTGAGCAACTTGTCTATCTCATACTTCCCGCTGCTACAGTACCTTAAAAGTTTTGTGCTGAAGAAGTGCAAAGTTTGATCAGAGTTACAAAGGAGGTCAACAGCAGAGATCTGATTAGCTCACCCATTTCCTGTCCTAAATTACTATCCAGTTAATAACTCTCCATATCTCCATATCTGTATGTCAGCCAGACTGACCTCTAAGCCACCATTGGACTTTAATCTTTCCTTTATGGACTCAGAAATCAGAAGCTAATACTTCTCCCACCTAAAGAGAAAGAGAGGAGGGGATATTTAACAACAGAAAACTCAATAAAAGCTTCTGTGTTATGGAAAGCCTATTAAGTAAAAAATGTATTTTAGCCAATTAGCAAGGGTCAGTGAGTTATCCTCACAAATCTGGCAGCAGAGGAGCGGAGGTGGGGAGGGGATGAGTTTAAAAGTAGCCAAAATTTTATTCAGCAATGTATTTTATATCTAGATCTGAGCAAATAATGGATCCTTGCAGCCAGATCATGCAACGTTAACTTCAGAGGTTGCCAACCTTTCTTAGCATACAGACACATTTGCAAAGTGGAGAAACTTCTGTGGCTAGCAGACACCCACCCACACAAGTCAACACACCAGAACCTTTTCTACTGGCTACAAAAGAATGAATGCTTCTTGCATGCCTAATTTCAGTGAGAGGAGCAGCAGAAGGGACTACATCTGTGGGCACTGGCCAATACCTTTGTGGGTGCATGTGTACCTACAGGTTCGATGCTGCTGACTCCTTGACCTAATTTATGGCTTGGAGCTCCTTTCCTTCCTCATATTCTTCCATTCTTCCATAGCAAACTGATCCATGGCTGGAGACAGTAATGCATCTGGATACTAGTAGCAGCAAACCATGGGGTGGGGTGGGGGGCTGCTCTTGTGCTTGGGTTTCCTACCGGTATCTCCATCTCCTCAGAGTATTGTGAAAGAACGATGTCAATCAACATTTGATGATCTCCTTCTACTGGTCCACAATAGAAAGTGTCCTATCATACTGCATCACGGTGTGGTATGCTGGTTTGACATCAACTGATAGGAAGTGCCTACAGAGGGTGGTGAATACAGCACATTATGGGCTGTCCCATGAATCAGCTGGATGACATTGTGGAAGAATGTTGCCTCAGGAAGGTGAGGAAAATTATCAGGGATGATTCACACCCTGGCCGGCACTTTCTTGATCTCCTGCCCTCAGGCAGAAGATATAGAAGCATGATTACTTGCACCAACAGGGTAAAGAACAGCTTCTATCCATGGGCTGAATGAAAAGATAACAATAGGGCAACTGGCTTCTGGGTTTGGTGGGTGTGCGTCAGTAAACAAGGGGAATTAAGACTAAGAGAGCTGAGTGGGGGGTGCTTGTGTAATCTCACTGTATACAAGTTGTACAAGTGACAATTAAGTATTTCAATGTGTCTGGCAAGGCAAGCCACTGTGAGATCAGGAATGCTAGCCTGGGTGGGCCTTTGGCCTGATCCAACAAGCTCCAATTATGTTCTTAACATACCCCACCTATTTTCTTAGGCTCCAGCAGGAATCAGCTACTCTGCATTATGTACAATCATCTCTTGCTTTCTATCACTTTTCGGTCTAGCAGTGAAGAATGCTTTTGTAAGCCCTCCATGCACATGTGACAGTGGGTGGGTGGGTGTTGCTGTTACCACTTCACATGGGTGGGCTGACTCACACAATTTATATAAAGGGAGGCTGCCTGAACCTTTTGATTTGGAGGTTTGGGGAGGGGTTCTGATAGCCTTTGGGGGCTATCTCAGGGGCTAAATTACTTTCCCTGGAGACTTGGGAGCTTACAAAATTGTGACACCACCCCTCCTTTGCAGTGTGTCGTGTCCAGGACAGAGGGTGTTCACATAATCAGTTTGCACATAATTTTCATACTACTTGGACCTCTTATTGAAAATGAAAAATTCAACAGGAAAAACTTCAAACTCAGCCCATGATTGCATGTATTAGTTTGTTTGGTACTTAATTATATGCAAAGTGTGGTGATTGTCTGTGTGGGGAAAACCAAGTTGCCTAATGTTATTGTGATGTAAGGCTGCTGACAAGGGATTACAGTGGTACCTCGGATTAAGTACTTAATTTGTTCTGGAGGTCCATTCTTAACCTGAAACTGTTCTTAACCTGAGGCACCACTTTAGCTAATGGGGCTTCCAGCTGCTGCTGCACCTCCAGAGCATGATATCTGTTCTCATCCTGAAGCAAAGTTCTTAACCTGAGGTACTATTTCTGGGTTAGCGGAGTCTGTAACCTGAAGCATCTGTAACCCGAGCATTAACCGAGTACCACTGTAATATTGTAGGTGAACCAGTTGCACTGGAATGAGTAGGATTTCATTTCACTTTGCCTGACAAGCAGACCAGTGTGACTTTCCCTGGGTGTCTATATTGTCGCTTAATAGGGGCTTGTACCTGGTTGTGAGTGCTGTGTTGGGGGCATCTAAACAGCTTTAGGTTGGCCACCACCTGTGTGTGTGTGTGTGTGTGTGTGTGTGTGTGTGTGTAAGACAGTTAGATAGGGATGTGGTGATCACTCACAGGCACTTTTAAGGTGATGGGGAGGGCCTTAGGTTTGTTGCTCAGGGTGGTGGGACTTATAGGATTCCTTCCAAGGCCAACTATTCCATTTACCAGAATCTGGGGGCCTGGAGGTGGGCTCTGAAGTGGTTAAACAGTCAAGCCCTCTTCCCAGGGAATTGTAGCTCTGTGAAGGGAATGGGGTTCTCCTAACAGCTCTCAGTGCAGTGGTACCTTGAGTTACAAATGCCTCAGGTTACAAACTCCGCTAACCTGGAAGAGTTACCTCAAGTTGAGAACTTTGCCCCAGGATGAGAAGGAAATCATGTGCCAGCGGTGCAGCGGCAGCAAGAGACCCCATTAGTGAAAACAAACCTCTAGTTACAAACAGTTTCAGGTTAAGAATGGACCTCTGGAATGAATTAAGTTCATAACTAGAGGTACCACTGTACTTTCAATAAACAACAGTTCCCAGGATTTTTTTGTGGGGAGCCATGACCGTTTAAAGTGGCACAATACTTGAAAAACAATTGCAATCAATTGACTACGCTTGTAGGATTACAAGAAGTTTTGTAAGGAGAACTATATGAAATATTGCAGGGAAAATTTATGAGAATGGATTTTAAGTTATGGACTGTTGAAAGTAATAGTGGAAATAATGAAATGCAAGGCTAAGTGATGAAGGTTGAAAATCATTAGACGTGGTTGATGGAAGTCCTAGGCTTATAGCCAAAATGTTGTATAAGATGAGAGAGATGTTATGTTTTGTTTGGAAAATATATATAAAAACTAATAGATAGATAGATGATAGATTGATAGATGATAGATAGAAGTGGCACGAT